ATTAATGTGTCCATATTAACCGGTCGATGCTTGGGACTTGCTTTGTTGTGGAGTGTTTAGCTGTGGGCAGCTGCACAGATGATCATCAGCGTGCAAGTCTGAAAAGTGAGGGAGGTGTCACAGTGGGATGAACAACGGGGCATGGGAAGCAGTGAAAATGGGGTAAGAAACAAGCAGAGCGCTAGAGGATTAGGGGTCTTGTCTTGAAAAACAGCATTGCCCTGAGCAGCAGGTGAAGCTGTGTGCTGGCTGGAGGCAAAGGGACGTGGAACGTGGTGCATGTCATGGATAGCTCAGGAAAACCATCTTGATGAAAGAGCTGCAGAGTGCCTTCAACCTGGTGTCCCCTTCTGCGATACGGAGAAGCAGGGTTAGTGGCAGGAAGTGCTGAGAGAGCGGATGTCCTTATGGCAGATCCTATCCCTCGGGCAGCTTTCTGTCCTGGTGTTTCTCTAGCTGGCTGATGGGGCTGTAGTGGTTTCCTCTCCTCACGTTACTGGTCTGTCTTCACCTTGTTGTTCACTTTTCTTATGTTCCTGCCCTTCACGTACAGCTCGGCCTGCTGAAGCTCCACTGCCTGTGTGAAAGGATCTATCGCACAAAGGGGCAGCAGCGAGAACTGCGTGACCACGTAGTGAAGTTCCATGAATGCGTGGAGGAGATGGAGCTGTACTGTGGCATGTGTGGAGAGTCCATTGGGGAGAAGAACAACCAGCTCCAGGCGCTGCCTTGCTCCCACTTCTTCCACTTAAAGTAATGAGCTGGAAGTACTACAGATTTTTGTCATGACGTTAGTCAGAGGGAAGAGCCCAGAGCAGGACCCTCCTACGCATGCTGTTCCCCAGGTCTTTGTCCCGCTTACCTGTGCCCTGCAGGATCCCATGGCAGTGTCGCAGATCTTGTGCCCTCGAAGGGTGAGATTTAGCCATGATAACCCCTCCCGCTACCCCTTCCATCCTCACCCATGTCCTCACCTTGTGGGCGCTTAGCCTAGTTCACAGATTCTTACTGAATTCCTCTTGGGGAATCGGTTCTTCGCTCCCAGGGGCAGTTTGGGTTTTCCCCCTGAATCCCCCCCCACTTCCTCTCTTGTCCAGAGGTAGACTGAGGCGAAGGTGTTCAGGCTGTTACTGTGCTACTGCCATGACAGAAGTTAGCTGGACCATCATTTTATTTTTAGAAGAAACACGAGTGTAACAAAATAGTTCTGAAAATTAAGGATTTAAAAACGAAGCCTCATACTGACACCAAAATTAGGATCAAATTGCCCCGGGTGGCGAGGGCTTTGTCTCCAGCAGTAAAGGAACTTCTGTGGAGGAACGTGCTGGAGTGCCTCCACCGAAGGGCTGGGAAAGAGATCAAATCTTTGCCCGAGAGGGGAGGGAGCTTTTTCCTATGTTGTGCCGTTAATACAGGGAACGGCAGGGGGAGCGGGCCTGGGGGCGCCTCCGGCCGCAGACCCCCTGCTGAAAGGGCCTCCTCCCTTTGCAGGTGCCTCCAGACCAAC